TGCTGGACCTGGTGTGGGTCACACCATTACTTTGTTCACTGTTCTTATCATTAATGCTGGAGCCTGGCTGTGGGTCACACCATTACTTTGTTCGCTGTTCTTATCATTAATGCTGGAGCCTGGCTGTGGGTCACACCTGTACATTTTCACTGTTCTTATCATTAAAAGCGGAGCCTGGCTGTGGGCACACCATTACTTTTTTTCGCTGTTCTTTTCATTAATGTGGGCCTGGCTGTGGGGCACAAAATTACTTTTTCGGTTCTTTCATTAATGCTGGAGCCTGGCTGTGGGTCACACCATTACTTTGTTCACTGTTCTTATCATTAATGCTGGAGCCTGGCTGTGGGTCACACCATTACTTTGTTCACTGTTCTTATCATTAATGCTGGAGCCTGGCTGTGGGTCACACCATTACTTTGTTCACTGTTCTTATCATTAATGCTGGAGCCTGGGTTGGTCCACACCAAGGGGAGAAAAGGGGGGGGGGGGGGGGGGCCCCCTTACTTTTTTCCTGTTCTTTTTCTTAAAGTGGAGCCTGGTGTGGGTCACACCTTACTTTGTTCCGTTCTTATCATTAATGCTGGGCCTCTGGGGGGTCACACCATTACTTTGTTCACGTTCTTATCATTAACTGGAGCCCCGGGTGTGGGGCACACCCTTCTTTGTTCCTGTTCTTTCATTAATGTGGAGCCTGGCTGTTGTCACAAAACCCTTTTTTGTTCGGGGGTTCTTATATTAAACTGGGGGCCTGGGTTGGGGCACACCCTTATTTGTTCGCTGTTTTATATTAAACTGGGCCGGCTGTGGGGCACACCATTATTTGTTTTCCCGTTTTTTTCATTAATGGGAGCCTGGGTGTGGGTCACACCATTTTTGTTTACTGTTCTTTTCTTTTAATGCTGGAGCCTGGCTGTGGGTCACACCATTACTTTGTTCACTGTTCTTATCATTAATGCTGGAGCCTGGCTGTGGGTCACACCATTACTTTGTTCACTGTTCTTATCATTAATGCTGGAGCCTGGCTGTGGGTCACACCATTACTTTGTTCCTTTCTTTCATTAATGCTGGGGGCCGGCTTGGGTCACACCTTTCTTTTTTTCGCGTTTTTATCATTAATGCTGGGGCCTGGCTGTGGGTCACACCATTTCTTTTTTTCGCTGTTCTTATCATTAATGTGGAGCCTGGGTGGGCACACCATTATTTGTTCCTGTTTTTTTATCTTTTTTGCTGGAGCCTGGCTGTGGGGCACACATTATTTTCCCGTTTTTTATCTTAAAGCTGGGGCCTGGCTGTGGGTCACACCATTACTTTGTTCACTGTTCTTATCATTAATGCTGGAGCCTGGCTGTGGGTCACACCATTACTTTGTTTGCTGTTCTTTATATTAATGCGGAGCCCGGGTGTGGGTCACACCATAACTTTGTTCGCTGTTCTTATCATTAATGCTGGAGCCTGGCTGTGGGTCACACCATTACTTTGTTCACTGTTCTTATCATTAATGCTGGAGCCTGGCTGTGGGTCACACCATTACTTTGTTCACTGTTCTTATCATTAATATAACCATGTTGAGAGAACCTGGTTCAGATGTTTACTAACTGTGTGGAACTCGAGCGTTGCGATCACACCTAAGATTAATTTTCATGTCCTTCAAGAAACTGCGGCTCGAGTCCGTGTGTGTTCTTTCCTCATGTATATCTTTTCTGATGCAACAGTTCTCCTCAGGAAGGTTCCTTGATGCTGGTGAGCGGCTCTTGATTTAGGGAATTGGATCTTTGCTCCAGTTCTCCGAATTAAGCCTGAATGCCTTCCACATCCTCCCCCCCAGGCGCTGTATAATCCTACGGGTTTAATGCTTCCCTTTGATTATAATAATGATGCAACAGTTTAAATGTTCCCATATATATATTTATATATATATATATATATATATATATATATATATATATATATAATATATATATATATATATATATATATATATATATATATAATATATATATATATATAACAACTTTTGACTGTCAGAGTGAAATAATTTATACCCCTGTATGTGGAATTCAGCAGACATGTTATTTTTTTTTTTTCAGATTGAATCAGGTTTAAGGTTAATAAAATGTCTGTGTTTCTTGCACATGCAGTTAGTCTTAATTCATATATTATATTACTTACACTATGACTATTTGTATAATAGATACTAGAGACTCACGAAATCGTAATGACACGATTGCAAACAAACTCTCTGACCGCGGGTTCAAATCCCGCCCGTGGTATGGTTTTTTTTTAATGTATACATTGGTATTTTATACATTGTTATTATATATATTGTTATTGTATACATTGTTATTGTATACATTGGTATTGTATACATTGGTATTGTTTATCTGGAGTTTACCTGGAGAGAGTTCCGGGGGTCAACGCCCCCGCGGCCCGGTCTGTGACCAGGGCTCAGGTTGGATCAGAGCCTGATCAACCAGGCTGTTGCTGCTGGCTACACGCAAACCAACGTACGAGCCACAGCCCGGCTGATCAGGAACCGACTTTAGGTGCTTGTCCAGTGCCAGCTTGAAGACTGCCAGGGGTCTGTTGGTAATCCTCCTTATGTATGCTGGGAGGCAGTTGAACAGTCTCGGGCCCCTGACACTTATTGTATGGTCTCTTAACGTGCTAGTGACACCCCTGCTTTTCATTGGGGGGATGTTGCATCGTCTGCCAAGTCTTTTGCTTTCGTTGTGAGTGATTTTCGTGTGCAAGTTTGGTACTAGTCCCTCTAGGATTTTCCAGGTGTATATAATGATGTATCTCTCCCTCCTGCGTTCCAGGGAATACAGGTTTAGGAACCTCAAGCGCTCCCAGTAATTGAGGTGTTTTATCTCCGTTATGCGCGCCGTGAAGGTTCTCTGTACATTTTCTAGGTGAGCAATTTCACCTGCCTTGAAAGGTGCTGTTAGAGTGCAGCAATATTCCAGTCTAGATAGAACAAGTGACCTGAAGAGTGTCATCATGGGCTTGGCCTCCCTAGTTTTGAAGGTTCTCATTATCCATCCTGTCATTTTTCTAGCAGATGCAATTGATACAATGTTATGGTCCTTGAAGGTGAGATCCTCCGACATGATCACTCCCAGGTCTTTGACGTTGGTGTTTCGCTCTATTTTGTGGCCAGAATTTGTTTTGTACTCTGATGAAGATTTAATTTCCTCATGTTTACCATATCTGAGTAATTGAAATTTCTCATCGTTGAACTTCATATTGTTTTCTGCAGCCCACTGAAAGATTTGGTTGATGTCCGCCTGGAGCCTTGCAGTGTCTGCAATGGAAGACACTGTCATGCAGATTCGGGTGTCATCTGCATTGTTAATGTATACATTGTTAATGTATACATTGTTATTGTATACATTGTTAATGTATACATTGTTATTGTATACATTGTTAATGTATACATTGTTAATGTATACATTGTTATTGTATACATTGTTAATGTATACATTGTTAATGTATACATTGTTATTGTATACATTGTTAATGTATACATTGTTAATGTATACATTGTTATTGTATACATTGTTAATGTATACATTGTTAATGTATACATTGTTATTGTATACATTGTTAATGTATACATTGGTATTGTATACATTGTTAATGTATACATTGGTATTGTATACATTGTTATTGTATACATTGTTAATGTATACATTGGTATTGTATACATTGTTATTGTATACATTGTTATTGTATACATTGTTAATGTATACATTGGTATTGTATACATTGTTAATGTATACATTGGTATTGTATACATTGTTATTGTATACATTGTTAATGTATACATTGTTATTGTATACATTGTTATTGTATACATTGTTAATGTATACATTGTTATTGTTTACCTGGAGTTTACCTGGAGAGAGTTCCGGGGGTCAACGCCCCCGCGGCCCGGTCTGTGACCAGGCCTCCTGGTGGATCAGCGCCTGATCAACCAGGCTGTTGCTGCTGGCTGCACGCAAACCAACGTACGAGCCACAGCCCGGCTGATCAGGAACTGACTTTAGGTGCTTGTCCAGTGCCATTGGTATTGTATACATTGGTATTGTATACCTTGGAATTGTATACATTGGTATTGTATACATTGGTATTGTATACATTGTTATTGTATACCTTGGTATTGTATACATTGTTATTGTATACCTTGGTATTGTATACCTTGGTATTGTATACCTTGGTATTGTATACATTGGTATTGTATACCTTGGTATTGTATACCTTGGTATTGTATACATTGGTATTGTATACCTTGGTATTGTATACCTTGGTATTGTATACATTGGTATTGTATACCTTGGTATTGTATACCTTGGTATTGTAATACATTGGTATTGTATACATTGGTATTGTATACCTTGGTATTGTATACCTTGGTATTGTATACATTGGTATTGTATACCTTGGTATTGTATACCTTGGTATTGTATACATTGGTATTGTATACATTGGTATTGTATACCTTGGTATTGTATACCTTGGTATTGTATACATTGGTATTGTATACCTTGGTATTGTATACATTGGTATTGTATACATTGGTATTGTATACCTTGGAATTGTATACATTGGTATTGTATACCTTGGTATTGTATACATTGGTATTGTATACATTGGTATTGTATACATTGGTATTGTATACCTTGGAATTGTATACATTGGTATTGTATACATTGGTATTGTATACATTGGTATTGTATACATATGTCTTCTGCTCTGCCAGTGACGTCACTCAAAACATCTCGCAAAATCTCGCATTGTGTGAGATATTTACTTTGTTCAATACTTATGACGAGATTCTGTGTTTTTCTTAAAATTCTGTTTTAAGTATTAAAATTCCATAAACTTCACCTGAAATAAACACAAAGCGCCTAGTTTATTTGAGTAAATGAAAGATCCTATAGAATATAGTGAATTAAGTAGAGGTTAATGATGGAGTTATTATATTGAAGTTGAGAATGCAGGGGTTGGGAGGCAGGCCTCAGCGGGTTACAATGGCACAATGGCTTCCCGGAGATCTGCTTTAGCCTCGCAGAATGAAATAGCCGGGAATGACCCTCTCCGGGAGCTGTTCGAGGCTTGCAGAAATGGAGACTTAGTGAGAGTGAAGAAGCTAGTAACAGCACAGAATGTGAACGCCAGAGACACTGCAGGACGCAAGTCATCTCCACTACACTTCGCAGCAGGTCATCTCCTACACTAACTCACTAATTTCCACTTTCTCCTCTTAACATTACTTTATCCATACTTTCAACCTTATTAGTGTTACATTACCAATCAAGGTTTATCCCGGAGACATGAAGTGCGCAGTAAATTGATATACTTGAAATTTATGTGGGAGCTGACCTGTAGTGACTCCAGGTCTATATTAGTGTGAGAGGCGATAAACCCGCACGAGTCTTGCATCGCCATAAAATTGGAGTAATTAGGTAATTACCTGGAACGAGATCCCTTCAACAAGGACCCCCTCCCCCTCCCCCTCTTAAAGGGACCAGTTCTGTGATGTTTATAAAGATTTATTCTCTGTCACTGCTACACTACTCATGTTATAGCCCTACCAAGCTCTTGTGTGGTTGTACTAGTTCCTGACAGCTCTTGAGTGGTTGTACTCGTTCCTGACAGCTCTTGAGTGGTTGTACTCGTTCCTGACAGCTCTTGAGTGGTTGTACTAGTTCCTGACAGCTCTTGTGTGGCTGTACTAGTTCCTGACAGCTCTTGAGTGGTTGTACTCGTTCCTGACAGCTCTTGAGTGGTTGTACTCGTTCCTGACAGCTCTTGAGTGGTTGTACTAGTTCCTGACAGCTCTTGTGTGGTTGTACTAGTTCCTGACAGCTCTTGTGTGGTTGTACTAGTTCCTGACAGCTCTTGAGTGGTTGTACTCGTTCCTGACAGCTCTTGTGTGGTTGTACTAGTTCCTGACAGCTCTTGTGTGGTTGTACTAGTTCCTGACAGCTATTGAGTGGTTGTACTAGTTCCTGACAGCTCTGTGTGGTTGCATTCATTCCAGACAGCTCTTTGTTGCTGCATTCACTTCTGACAGCCCTTTGTGGTTCATTAATTCCTGACAGCTATGCATGGTTGCAGTCACTCCTGACAGCTCTGAGTGGTTGGGTTGACTCTGACAAGCTCTGGTTGGTGGCACCTGTCTCAAGTGGTAGTGCATTTACCTTACATTTGAAGGACTAGGGTTTGATCCCAGCCCAAGTGAAAATTTTAGGCATATTTCCATACACCTGTTGTCCCTGTTTACCTAGCAGTAAGTAGGTATCTGGTGGTCACACACTGGGTAAGAGGATCAAAGGACCCTAATAAAAATAAGCCATATATAGTGTATTTATTGGGTTTTCCTGGAATACTAAGTCCCCTGGAATAATAATCCAAGTAATGGTTTGGCAATAGTATTGTAAATGAGTGGAATGAACTCTTAGGTAGTGTCACTGAGGCAAGAACTTTGAGTAGCTTTACATATAGATTGGACAGTTCTATGAGTGGGTGTGGTTGGGTGCTAATTAGACATGCCTAACTTGGGCCAGTAGGCCTACTTCAGTGTTCCTTCATTTATTTTCTTGTAAAATCTTGGTTTAGTTGGCTCTGGTGCATGATTGGATGTCTTGACTCTAGCAAACTCTTGTTGGTTGAGTTGGTTCTAGCAAACTCTTGTTGGTTGAGTTGGTTCTAGCAGTCTTGTTGGGTGAGTTGGTTCTAACAAACTCTTGTTGGGTGAGTTGATTCTAGCAAAGTCTTGTTGGTTGAGTTGGTTCTAACAGACTCTTGTTGGTTGAGTTGGTTCTAGCAAAGTCTTGTTGGGTGAGTTGGTTCTAGTAAACTCTTGTTGGTTGAGTTGGTTCTAGCAAACTTGTTGGGTGAGTTGGTTCTAGCAAACTTGTTGGTTGAGTTAGTTCTAGCAAACTCTTGTTGGGTGAGTTGGTTCTAGCAAACTCTTGTTGGGTGAGTTGGTTCTAGCAAACTCTTGTTGGGTGAGTTGGTTCTAGCAAAGTCTTGTTGGTTGAGTTGGTTCTAACAGACTCTTGTTGGTTGAGTTGGTTCTAGCAAAGTCTTGTTGGGTGAGTTGGTTCTAGCAAACTCTTGTTGGTTGAGTTGGTTCTAGCAAACTCTTGTTGGGTGAGTTGATTCTAGCAAACTTGTTGGATGAGTTAGTTCTAGCAAACTCTTGTTGGGTGAGTTGGTTCTAGCAAACTCTTGTTGGGTGAGTTGGTTCTAGCAAACTCTTGTTGATTGAGTTGGTTCTAGCAAACTCTTGTTGGTTGAGTTGGTTCTATCAAACTTATTGGTTGAGTTGGTTGTAGCAAACTTGTTGGTTGAGTTGGTTCTAGTAAACTCTTGTTGATTGAGTTGGCTCTGGCATACTTGTTGGTTCAGTTGACTCAGACAAGCTCTGGTTAGATGAGTTGACTTTGGCAATCTTTGACCAGTTGAGTTGACAAGGACAAGCTTTGACCAATTGAGTTGTATCTGAACAGCCCTTTGGTTGGTTGAATTGGTTTTGAAAAGCTCTCTGATTGGTTGAGTTTGCTTGAGCAGGCTCTTATTGGTTCACTTGGCTGTGAGAATGGAAAAGCATTTAAAACTTGTTGATAGATTATTTAGGTTAACAATGTACAGAACTTTTATATAATATTATACATATGTTGATATATGAGGATGGCATGTGACAATGCAATAAACTAAGATATCTAACTAAGTAAAATAAAATTTAATTACATAAGGACCCCTGCAAAACAGCCACAGGGTGGAGGAGTTGAATGGCAGCTCTAGGCCTTTTATGTTGCAGTCAATACATTGTTAAGAACTTTCAGTAGTGAGATAGAAATGGAGATCAGCACAGGTAAGTGTGCATGAAGACATCCTATACTGGAAGGTGTGTGTATGAAGACATCCTATAATGAAAGGTGTGTGTATGAAGACATGATATAATGGAAGGTGTGTGTATGAAGACATCCTATAATGAAAGGTGTGTGTATGAAGACATCCTATAATGGAAGGTGTGTGTATGAAGACATCCTGTAATGGAAGGTGTGTGTATGAAGACATCCTGTAATGGAAGGTGTGTGTATGAAGACATCCTGTAATGGAAGGTGTGTGTATGAAGACATCCTGTAATGGAAGGTGTGTGTATGAAGACATCCTGTAATGGAAGGTGTGTGTATGAAGACATCCTGTAATGGAAGGTGTGTGTATGAAGGCATCCTATAATGGAAGGTGTGTGTATGAAGACATCCTGTAATGGAAGGTGTGTGTATGAAGACATCCTATAATGGAAGGTGTGTGTATGAAGACATCCTATAATGAAAGGTGTGTGTATGAAGACATCCTGTAATGGAAGGTGTGTGTATGAAGATATACTGGAAGATGTGTGTAGGAAGACATCCTATAATGGAAGGTGTGTGTAGGAAGACATCCTATACTGGAAGGTGTGTGTAAGAAGACATCCTATACTGGAAAGTGTCTTCTGGTCATGAAACCAACTAAATCATCTCTATTTCAGTAGTATGTCTTAAATTTTGTCAAATTATACCAAGAAGCAGTAATTAAAAAAATAATAAAAAACTTCCTTGAAAACGCCTCAAATTTGGTATTTTAAACCAAACACAAGGTCAGAGTTTTCCCATCACTCACTGCATGGGGTGATTTTTTTTTATATACTGTGTATACTCACCCCACAGACCCATTTTCTAATATCTAGCCAAAATTTACTGCTCTTAGCTTATCTGAGCAAACTGAGTTCAAGATGTAGATCTGTGTGAGGGAGTCTGGCATCAATGTAGATCTAAGTGACAGACAGTGAAAGGGGTAAATTATTGCAATTTGTATTCAGATTTATGTACAATATTGCACATTGCAGAAAAAATCAATATTAAGTATGCAAAAATTACAGTTTATGATGATTTAATCAAGGATTTCTCTACAGTATCTCCAAAGGGCATGTTAATATATATTTCTTAACATCCAGAGGGAATGCTCAAAGAGAACTTATAACACTTATAAATAAATTGCTAAAATATGCCTGTCTACACATGTTATAAAGCTCACCAGCTCCTGATAGTCTTGTGAGTAATACTGACCAAAAACATGTTTATTATTCAGTTACAGTAGCTAGTACATTTTGTCTTGCAGGTCACAAGACATGTCTGTACAAAATATATATAAGCTGCTGTACTGTATACAGTATATCTGTTAATGGTTCTGGGAGTTATTACATCTGCAGCCTGATCTCAGACCACACTTCCTAAATTTAAAAATAAATATTACAGCAATAAGAGCTATTAAGAAACAAAAGTGTAGCTAAGTGTACAGTGAACATAGAAGTTTGTAACTGTAAGATATGCTTTCTGTCTTACATATTCATGTTCAGTCCTGTTAGAATGCAGAATGTGCAATAAACATCCATTTCACATATATATAACAAGATAGTAATAATTCCCTGAATAGTTGCTGACTAACAACCTACTGCTTGTCAAATCAATTACTTGATAAAGCTTAACACTGAGCAAATGTCAGAATGATGATTTGCTTTACATACTGTCTTTCTTTAACATTATTGTTGGATAATTTGTCAGCAAAAGAGAGATGGTTGATGCCTGGCTGTATACAGTGTGTACTGCAAAATTGTTTAATTTGGTTCCTAATCCTTTTAAGTTTGAGTCAAGGTTTCATAGCTACAACTTGTTAGCAGTTTTGTAGACAAATTTTATTTTTAGCTTTCAGCATTTAAATTTTTTCCAGTTTATCCTGACATTCATATCCTGCACACCCATGTCTGATAATAGTGACCTTTTATGAACATGTAATAGATTTAGCTTATAATGTTAAATTTTTTCAGTTCATCCTGAGACTCGTGTCCTATTCACCTATATCTGATGATAGTGACTTTGTATGAATGTGTACTGTGGACATAGCTTATAAAATTAGTAACTTTTAATTTTAAGCCAAACTTTTGCTTCAGGCTTTGGACGAAGAGATGTTGTGGAGCACCTCTTAAATCTTGGTGCTGCTGTTGGGGCTCGTGATGATGGAGGATTGATACCACTTCACAATGCCTGTTCGTTTGGTCATGCAGAAGTAGTTTCTCTTCTTCTAAAACATGGAGCTGATCCAAATGCAAGAGATAACTGGAACTACACTCCCCTTCATGAAGCTGCATCCAAGTCTAAATTTGATGTTTGCATAGGTACTGTACATGGGTGAAGAATTCATCATACAGTATTACTAAACTCTGATATGTAATATACAGCCTCTCCTCACCTAACGATGGAATTCTGTTCCTAAGATCATGTTGGTAAACAAATTTGTCACTAAGCAAGGAGCATACTATAGTGGTAGTGGGTTTGTGTCAACCATCTTTGCTATTGTTTTAATGTCACCCATGCACCATTTATAACATTGTTAGTATATTTTTAAATGTTTATACAGGAGTGTACTGTATATTGTAATAAACAGTAGAGGAAATCAGCTCTAATATACCTACAGTGGATCCTCGACCAGCGGTGGCATCAAGTAACGGCAAATTCATCTAATGGTGCTGTTTGGTGTAAAAAAAAGGCTCTACCAATGGCGAAAAACTCGTCTAATGGCGTTTGTCTGGAACGTGTCCATGTGGCGGGAGTGCGGCAGGAGCAGGCCCAACCACTCCAAGACTCAGTGTGCCATTGTTTACAAGCTGTTGCGGTCGATTCCATGTTTGCCTGCCATATATTTTGGATTATTCCAGTGTTTTTTAGCTTGTAACTGCTAAATAAGCCACCATGGGCCTCAAGAAAGCTTCTAGTGCCAAGCCTGTGCTAAAAAGGGTGAGAAAGAGATAATTGAAAAATACAAGAGTGGAGTGCGTATGTCCTAGTTGGAAAGGCAATACAACAAATCCCATTCAACCATCAGTACTATCTTGGTGAACAGAAAGGTAATCAAGGAAGCTGTTGTTGCGAAAGGTGCAAGTATGTTTTCAAAACGGAGACCGCAAATAATTGAAGAGGTAGAGAGACTGATACTGGTATGGATAAACGAAAAACAATTATCAGAAGATAGTGTTTCTCAGTCTATAATTTGTGAAAAGGCAAGGCAGTTGCATGATGATCTCATTAAGAAAATGCCTCAAAATAGTGACGATATTGATGAATTTAAGGCCAGCAAAGGCTGGTTTGAGAGATTTAAGAATCGTAGTGGCATACACAGTGTGGTAAGGCATGGTGAGGCTGCCAGTTCAGACAAAAAAGCAGCAGACAAATATTTGAAGGACTTGAAGGAATATATAGAAACTGAAAACTTAAAACCCGAACAAGTGTTGAATTGTGACAAAACAGGCCTGTTTTGGAAGAAAATGCCGAACAGGACCTACATTACTCAGGAGGAAAAGGCACTCCCAGGACATAAGCCTGTGAAAGACAGGCTGACATTAATGTTGTGTAGTAATGCTAGTGGTGATTGCAAAGTGAAGCCTTATTGGCGTATCACTCTGAAACTCCAAGAGTGTTCAGGAAAAACAATATCGTCAATGGTAATTTGTGTGTGCTGTGGAGATCAAATGGTAAGGCATGGGTCACTAGGGTATTTTTCTTGGACTGGTTTTATGATGTATTTGGCCCCACTGTGACAAAATACCTCCAGGAAAAGAAATTATCACTCAAGTGCCTCCTGGTAAAGGACAGTGCTCCTGCTCATCCTCATGACTTGCAAGAGGAAATTGCAGGGGAGTTTGGTTTTGTTAAAGTGAGGTTTTTGCCTCCTAATACAACTCCTCTCCTCCAGCCCATGGACCAGCAGGTCATTTCAAACTTCAAAAAACTCTACACAAAAGCAGTGTTTCAAAAGTGCTTTCAAGTGACCTCAGACACTCAATTGACCCTAAGAGAGTTTTGGAAAGATCACTTCAATATCCTTGGAAAGGAGTGACTAAGAGGACCTTGAACTCTGCTTGGATGAAACTGTGGCCACAGTGTGTACAAGAGAGGGATTTTGAAAGGTTTGGGGCTAACCCTCAGGAGCCTATGCCAGTAGTGGAAGCTGTTGTGTCAATGGGGAAGTCCTAGGGTTGGAGGTTTGTGACGAGGATGTGGAAGAGTTGGTGCAGAACGACGAGAAAGAACTAACCACTGCAGACCTGCAAGAGCTTCAGGTGCAGCAGCAACAGATCACATCTCAGGAATGTTCTTCAGAGCAGGAGGAGGATGACTTCATCAAGGATTAGGGAAATGTTCAATGTTTACAGAGGTGCAAGCATTTATGGATGAATTTTATCCTGTCACAGAAGTTTAAGCCGTATTGGCAACATGTACAGTGACACGCTTGTGTCCCATTTTAGGGAAATCCTAATGGCACGTGAGAAACAGCTCTCTGGAAAGATATTTTGTGCGACAGGGGTCCAGTGACTCTCAAGCTGGTCCTAGTGGCATTAAAAAACCAAGAAAGGAGGTAACCCCCCCACCAAAGGACTTAGTACCTCAAATCTATATGGAAGAAGATTCTCCTTCCAAACAATAAAACACCTGCATCATCTCCCCTCCTGCCATCTCATCACTCATCAACAACTCCACAATAAAGGTAAGTGGCATTTAATTATTGTTTATTTTGCATGTCCCATTTGTTTTTGTGTAGGGAAATGTATATTTCATTTAAAAAAAATTATTTTGTTTAATACTTTTGGGTGTCTGGAACAGATTAATTCTATTTCCATTATTTCTTATGGGGAAAATTAATTCGACCAGTGGCAAATTTGACTAACGGCTAGCTCTCTGGAATGGATTAATGCCGTTGGTCGAGGGTCCACTGTACATTATGTAGGTATGCATGTTGGTCAGAGAGCCCGTCGTAAGTCTGAGTCATTGGTAAACAAGTATACTACATTGCTAAGTGAGGAGAGGCTGTATTAATTGTATTATTCAAAACTTGCATTTTTCACGAACATGAATAAATAGAAATCTTTTGCGTATTACCTTGTAATAGTTTGTATTAAGTTCCACTTTTATAAACTAAGGTAAATACAGTACAGTACAGTAAAACCTAAGTTAATTCACCTCGATTTAACAGACTTCGGAATTACAGGACAAAATCAGCTGGGTTAGTTGATTCAGACACAACAGAGTCCATTGGTTACAAAATTGTTCGGTGTTGTTACAATCACAGCAAAAACACTCGTATCTATAAACCACAATCTCCATTATTGACCATCCACTCCTTTGAATTAATTCATTAAATTAAGAATTTTCTGTACATGTACACTATAACAATTATAAAGGCTTTCCTCAGTTATTATTATTGAATTATATAAGCTTATCATCCAAGCCTAAATAAAAAGCTTAATAGCAATTTCAGATTTTTTGGTTATTTAATGGCCATCACCTGCCAAGGAAGGGTGACCCAAAGAAGAAAACATATTTGCCATCTTTCATTCAGTTTGTCTTTCCAGAAATGTGATGACATCATAATTAAGATTACCCTCTGACTGAAACATCCCCTCTTCTTACCTCCACAACTCAAGACCAGCTAACTTTTTTTTCCTGAGTCCCTTTATCAAAGTTACCTTACTTTCACTCCAACACAGTGTTCATTAGACACCACATGTCTTTACTCCTATATAGCATGTTTACACAAGCCTGCTGGATGCTCAAGCCAAAAAAAAAAATAAGCTTCCTTTATGACCCTCCTCTCTCTGTTCTGGGATAATCCCTACTCCTACCTTCCATCCTAGATTTATGTACCCTCTTCATCATCCTATCACTCTCTACCTTTCTATGTGCCCAAACTGCCCCAGCAACCTCCCCTAAGCCCTCTGAATTTTACCTTTGTTGCTCCCATGTTGCTTTTTAATTTCTATGCTGCTAATTCTCTGCGTGGTATTCACACCACACATTGCTCTCAAACATGACGTCTCTGCTGCCTCTAGTCGGTCTCATTGCAGCATTCAGAACTCTTGCATCATGTTCATGTAAAAGTGTTGGTGCAATTAAACTGTGGTATGTAAGTTTTTTTTTTTTTTTTTTTTTTGCATCTCTAAATAAACTCTTTTTACATGCGGATATGGAGAAGAATCCTTCCTCTGTAAGCCATGCATGTCATAAGAGGCCACTAAAATGTTAGGAGCAAGAGGCTAGTAACCCTTCTGTATAAATTACTAAATGTAAAAGGAAGAAAAACTTTCATTTCTTCTTTTTCATGTCGCCCTGCCTGGTGGAAGACTGCTGGTGTATTAAAAAAAATCTTAACACAGATGCCTCAACAGACCACCCCACCTTATTTTCACCTTCATCTATTTTATGGTTCACCCATCTGCTGACAAATCTACTCTCAAATATCTGAATGCTTTCTCTTCCATACTCACTCCCGCTAATTTGATAGTCAATCTGTTGCTGCCTAAAACTATTTTTGTTACCCTCATCACTTTCCTTTTTTTTTTCTATGTTCACTTTTAATTTCTTCCTTTTTACATACCCTCCCAAATTTGTTCAAGTTTTACAACTTGTCTTCAGAAACCCCCTAAAGAACTGTCATCAGCTAAGAACAACTGTGACAACTCCCACCTTGTTTCAGATACAACATCTGTTAATCCCACACTTCTTTCCAGCATTCAAACATTCACTTCTTTTCCAACCCCATTTATAAACATATTAAACAACCATAGTTACATCATGCATTCCTGTCTAAGTCCTTTCAATGGGAAATAGTCCCCCCTTCCTCCTACTTATCCATTCCTGAGTCTGACTCTGCATGAACACTTAATTGCTTTTAGTAACCTACCTCCTATTCCATACATTTGCAACATCTGCCACTTGTCTTCCCTATCCACTCTATCACAAACACTTGGTCTTTACATCCCCTACCCTTCCTAAATCTTCCATACTTCTCTGCACTCATGCTCTCTCTCTTACCCCTAAACCTTTCAGTAATAATTTTACTGTAAGGTTTACTTTGTATGCTCAGCAGGCTCACCCTCCAATAATTCCTACATTTTCTCTCTTCCCTTTTTTCCTTATATGTATAATGTATGAATGTTGAATGATGATGAAAGTATTTTCTTTTTGGGGATTTTCTTTCTTTTTGGGCCACCCTGCTTCGGTGGGAGACGGCCGACTCATTGAAAAAAAAAAGATGTATAAGGGAACACTGCATGCTCTTTGCCAGTCCTTTGATACCTTCTTTTCTTCCATGCATATAAAAAGCACTCATCAACCATTTCAACACTATTCCCATCTCCTCTTAACATCTCTTGTCTTAATCCCATGTATCACAGCCATTGTACCCCCACTTATTCTATCCAGTGCCTCACACTTTCCCCACACCTTCTTCACACTGCTCTTCACTTATATTTGATGTTATCCATCCCTACCTCAATACCTTTTCACCAACTCTTTAGAATATGCTCTCCATCTTTTCAGTACCTCCACCTTCTCATCTAATATCTCCCCCCCTCTCATTTTTAAGTGCTAAGTTCATTAGCTCTCCAGGCTTTCTCACTTTAGTGATCTCTCCAAAACTGCCACTTATTTGGTTGATAAGGACTTGCCAATTCTCTCATTGGCTCTCTCACCACTTTTTTAACCTTCATCTCTCCCTCCATATACCCTATCTTGCATCTGTCATTTTTAGATATGGTCATGATTTTAAGAATTTTGACCATTGCAGTGCTGCTTCAAAATGGTGCAGATCACACTATCCGCAACACAGATGGTAAAACAGCGTTGGATCTGGCTGACACCTATGCTCGTTCTGTACTCACAGGTTAGCCACTTTTGATTTGTATTGTTAATATTTTTATTAGATTCTTTTTCACATTTCTGTCACATCTAGTCAAGGGTAACAAAGTTATGTACTGTATGTAATTTCATTCTGTAGTTTATTTTTTTAACCACTTAATTGGTTCCCCCCAGGATAGTGTGGCCCAAAGAAGGAAATACATTCACCATCGTTCATTCATTAGTTATTGAAACTTTATTAATTTGAAATTTTCCTGTAGGTTGGTGAAGCTGACACAGGTGTTCCTAATTATGATGGTGGTTCATATGTAAGCAGAGACAAAGGTAGATTTGCATTAGGGAGGTCTTATGGATGACAATATAATTACTGTTGAGATAGGTACACATACAGCAGTGTCTACCATAATAATCTGGACCTGCCTCCATTATAAACGATATAAAATGGTCTGGATTCATATCATGAATGTTTTCTGGAGGTATCTGTCAACTCTGAACTAATAAACGAGACTGCAGTATGTATCACCATCTAGTGCACCTGCATACAGCAGTTAGATAAGGTGTTTTATTATTATATTGTACTATCCCCAAGTGCCCAGGATTTTTGGCCACAATATTTAGTGCCGTGTAATTTTGTGCCAAGTGGATAAAAATAGGTTGGTAAAAAATAAATAGTGAGGAAAAAGTCTGTATATTTGCTTGGAGACAAGAAAGGCACCATAAAGGAAATTTGTCATCATACAAAACGAGCAAAGTTCAGCACAATGACATTACTTTCTGCCGCTCGTAGCCTCCCACCAGATGTTCCCACAACGAAACCTATACTGGATATCCAAGGAGGACATTTAAATGCACAGGTAACATTCTATGCAGAGAACTACCTAGAAATCTACATGTGACTGCATCACAACTCAGTGCATTCTGAACTCCTGGATAACCTCTTGATTAAGTATGTTCATCACCTCTTGCAAAAGGACCTCCGCCTGCCAAGTCATCATGCTGCAAGGAAACCCCTACTGTTGCCCTGTATGAAGAAGGAGCACCTGCAGTTTGCCAGGAAATATGCTCACTGGATGGTTGATAATTGGAAAAAGCCATGTGATCAAATGAATCCATGTTTCAGTGTATTCAGGGTTGTCAAAGCAGGGTGAGTTGCCCCTCCTCCATCAGCAGGTATGACCCTGCATGTACAGTGAGCATAGTAAAGCACCAACAGTCTGTCATAGTTTGGGGTTCCTTTAGTGGTTTACTTGGTTGTGAGGGTTATACAATGAATGCTGACTGCTACATTACCATTCTTGAGGACCACTTCTGAATATTTTCAAAATTTATGGTTGCTCCACCTCTTTGCGTAATAGTGCCACCCTGTCACAAGGCCAAAACGTAACCAAGTGGCTTGCTGAGGAAAAATATTGAGGTTTTACAGTGGCCAGACTGCAATCCTATTGAAGAATAAAAAGGCACAATACAATGACTGGAACAATGCACAGATAACCCTCACATAAGAGAAAGAAACTTATGACAACATTTTGGTCTGACTTGGACCATTCACTAGTTGTCTAAATGTCGTTATTACTTTCTTTCTCCTATGTGTGGGTTATTTGTGTACTCAGTCCTATTGAGAATGTCTGGAATATCATGAAAAAGAAGATGGAATCTTGCCACATTTCATCCATGTTGTGCCTGCAGCAGGAGATCAAGGACATTTGGGTCAGCCAGTTATCCTTTGATTAATTACTTCAAGATTCTGAGTGAAAGCATGCCCAAATGGCTTCAAATGGTCATCAAGACCAAGCAGGCAATAGTAAACAAAATATTATGAATATATGCACTACATCACTGTGCCTAAGGTATGAATCTTGCTTTACATAATTTCATAACTAATTATTCTCACTTAGTTAAAATTTCTCCATTGAATTTTTACTTGTAAATCCATGGAGTGGCTTATGCAGTGTAAAAAAATATAGAGAGCAAAGAAAAATGGATGAAGAGTTTGACCCTTTCAGGGTCCGTGCCGTAGTTCTACGGCTTTGAGTTGAGGGTCCAAACCGTAGATCTACGCCATGAGCTTAGCTCACTCTGATAAGCTGTGAGCGGTAAATTTGGGCCTAAATATGAGAGAATACATCTGTGTGGTATGTGTGCACCACATAAAACAAATCCTGCAGCACACACTGCATAATGAGAGAAAAAACTGAGACTGATTTTTTATTAAAACAGCGACTTTGCAGTGTTTTTTCGTATGTTTTTTATAGTTGTAGTACGTATTTGCAATTTGTTGGTCTCATCTGATAGAATGGAAGATTGGTTTTAGTACTGGAAATGGCTTGAAACTGAGCTCAGAGTAGCGGAAATGCTAAATTTTTGCCAATGTTCAAGAGTAAACAAATGACCTCACATGTCTAATACACACCAGCTGGTGGGTCTGATATACATTCACAAATGTGGTGATATTATTTATACAATTATTACAAAATTGCATAACAGTAAATCTTCTAATTTTTGGTTTGAATAAAAATTCATTATGTGAATTAAAAAATCAAAATGGAATTCATTTGTAAAGACTAAAAACATAACTAATGAACAGAGGAAATGTTAGTTTAGTGCCTGGAATGCCTGCATTGTTTAATGTGGACCCTATTTTGAAATTGGAATGTTTTGAACTTTGCGTTAAATTGGCCAAATTACCAATTTCTGATCACTTTATTTTGTAGTTGAAACATTTGACTTGGGGATTTCTTGTGCTAAATCGATAGAATAGAAGTAATACTAGTAAAATAGCTAAGAATTTGGTCAATAGGAATAATGCAATTGGCCTAAAATGGGAGTCAAAGTCAGCAAAATTGCCGATGCATAAATATCGCTGACACATCATAATTTCGTCAATTTTCCATCAAATTTCGTACTTTTTGTTTTATTACCTTCAGAAAAAGATTCTCTGCCATTTCATAAGAAAAAATAGCAAATTTTTTTTTTTTGAAAATTCTTGGACCCTGGTGCACACTTTGAAATTTGGCCTCTGGACCCTGAAAGGATTAAGAATGAAAAAATAAGGTAAGAAATTTGTGGACAATTATTTGTATTGAAAAAAATGAGTCAAGGTAAAAAAAAAGTACTGTAATTCATAGTGTATATGATAATCTGATTTAGGGCATAATATTAAGATAGTGAAGTATCAGAAAGAATATTACACTAAACTATTATTATCAGATGAAAAGAACTGGTACATAGTGACTGTGTTTTAAAATGGGAGGAAGTCCTTATCTAGTGTGATCCATTTTTCTCCAGGTTATTCCTGTGGTATGTTAGTTTTATGATAGAAGTGAATGTTCTATACAACCTATAATATCTTTAATATTCATCAACTCATTTACAGTATGATAAGTAAGATTATAACACTAATGTTTGTATATCATTTGACTTGTGATAGGAGAATATAAAAAGGAAGAGTTATTGGAGGCTGCCCGAGCTGGCAATGAGGACCGCCTTTTAACCCTCCTGACTCCTCTCAATGTGAATTGTCATGCCTCGGATGGTCGTAAATCCACCCCTTTGCACCTGGCTGCTGGATACAACAGAACAGAAATTGTAACGATACTGCTGCAACATGGAGCTGATGTACATGCTAAGGACAAAGGGTGAGTTAAGTGCATTCCTCTCAGTATAGCTCAGTCGTTACTTGATGTGACATATACTGTAGCAAAATACAAGAAGACTAATGCAATGTTGTCAAATATATTATTACATTAAGACATACGTATGCTATTTTTATGTTTTGAGCAGTGGTCTGGTGCCACTGCATAATGCCTGCTCATATGGCCACTTCGAGGTAACAGAGCTGCTTATCAAGCATGGTGCCAATGTTAATGCAATGGATCTATGGCAGTTTACCCCTCTTCACGAAGCAGCATCAAAATCCCGGGTTGAGGTGAGTGTGAAGTTTCTTTTTTTTACACCCAAGGGTATACTTATGAATAATTTTGATAAGTCCACCACTCGCACAGTATGTACTGTGACCAAGAGCAAGAGGGATTGGGGGGTGAACTCAACCCTGACATGATTGGAAACATCACTCAAAATTGATTTCAGTAGACTGTTGATTAACACAGTAGTTACTTTCCTGAAAAATCAGTGCAAAACAAAACCATGTTAAACAAAGTGAAGAACTTAGGGAAAAAATAAGGTTTCATTCTTTGCACCTCCCAAAATGGCAAACAAACTTTCTTTTCTTTTTAGGTCTCCAAATCGTAAAAAAAAAAAAATAAAAATGATAATGTAATTGTAGTTCATTGTCGTGATGTACTATATTTAATGCAGTGCTTAAGGCTACAAATGTTACAGAAATATTTCTTATACTGTATTGTGGTTGCTGAAATATGTTAATGATTCTGAACAGAGTGGAGAGGGAAGCTGTGGCTCTACTGGGGTGAGGTGGTAGGTTGTAGATTGTTTACTGAGATGGATGGTTGTAGCTTTGGCACTAAAGTCAGTGGTTATACTGTAGTCAGAAATTCTGTACGGTACGTGTGCAAAAATATGACATGCTACGGGTGTCCTGTAGTTCAGTTGCTAGCGGACTCAGCTCACACATTGAGGTCCATGGTTTGATCCCCAATTTTGGTGGAAACATTAGGATGTGTTTTCTTAAGACACCTGCTGTCCCTGTTCATCTATCAGTAAAATAGTTAGTGTTAATTGACTGATGTGGGTTGCAGCCTGGGGACAAAATTGACGTACGTAATCTACCCGGAATACTCTGTATAACAAGGGGGCTTTTTATATGGTAGTATGTCATTGATGTCAGCTAGGCCTGTATATGTTGTACATGTACCTTCAGAAATCAAGATTATTTTTTTTCAACATGTCTGCTGTCTACCACCGAGGCAGGCATGACCCAAAAAAAGAAGGAACGCTACCCCACCTTACTACCTCTCACTTGTATTAAGTTTAAATAAGATTGTAAAACAGTTAACCACTACTTCTTGTCTAGTTTTAAGTATGGTTACTATGTACTATTATCTTATCTAGTTTTAGTTAGTTACTATGTCTTAGGATTAGTTTGCCCAAAATGCCTCTGCATGATAGTGGCCATCTTTGTACTTAGCAAATCAAAACTGTAATTACACATTGTAACCTTTACAAAGAAATAAACTTTACTTACACCATCATTCACACATAGTCACTGTCTTTGTAGAGGTGCTCAGATATGACAGTTTAGATGTCACTGCAAACAGCCAATATCCCAAACCCCTCCTTTAAAGTACAGGCATTGTACTATTTCCCACCTCCAGGACTCGAGTCCAGTAACCAGTTTCCCTGAATCCATTCACAAAAATTACCCTGCTCACACTCCAACAGCTCATGAAGTCCCAAAAATTCTTCTTCTCTGCTCACTCCTATCTAACATGCTCACATGTGCCTGCTGTATGTCCAAGCCCCTTGCACACAAAATCTCTTACCCCTTCCCTCCATTCTTTCCTAGGATGACCCCTACTTCTCTTTCCCTCCACTACTGATTTAATCACCCTCCAAGTCATCCTATTTTGCTCTATCCTCTCTAAATGACTAAACCACCTTTACAGCCCTTCCTCAGCCCTCCAGATAATGCTTGTAGTAACTCCACATCTCCTCCTAATTTCCACACTATGAATTCTGTGCATAATATTTACACCACACATTGCCCTTAGACATGACATCTCCACTCTCTCCAGCCTCCTTTTGTTGCAACATTCACAACTCATGCTTCACACCCATATAAGAGTGTTGGTACCACTATACTCTTGTACATTCTCTTCTTTGCATCCATGGATAATGTTCTTTGTCTCCACAGATACCTCAATGCACTAATCACCTTTTTTTCTTCATCACTTCTATGGTCTACATCGTCCTTCATAAACCCATTCACTGACAAGTCTACTCCCAAATATCTGAACACATTCATTTCTTCCATACTCCCTCCCTCCAATGTGATATCCAATTTTTCCTTATCTAAATCATTTGATACCCTCATCGCCTTACTTTTATCTATGCTCATTTTCAACTTTCTTCCTTTACATGCCCTACCAAACTTGTCCATTAACCTTTACAACTTCTCAGTCTCCCAAAAGCACAGTATCATTAACAAAAAGTAACTGTGTCAGCTCTCATTTTATATTTGAATCCACATAATTTAATCCCACCCCTCTCCCCAACACCCTAGCATTTACTTCTTGTACAACCCCATCTATAAATATGTTAAACAACCACAGTGATTTTATGTATCCCTGTCTAAGACCTACTTTTATTGGAAAATAATCTCCCTCTCTGCTACACACCCTTACCTGAGCTTTTGCGACATTTTTCATTCCTTTCATTATCACTTCAGAGATACCTTACACCTTTGCAATATTTAAAAGTAAATCCATGAATTACAGTCGCAAATTATTTAAACGGTTTAAGCATATCAGTTTGTGGTTAATTTATTAAGAATAATAAACTTGTCAGGTGTGCTCATTGCTGTTGGCCCATGGTGCTGATCCAACACTACTCAATTGTCACTCCAAATCTGCTATTGATGTTGCACCTTCCAGAGAACTGCAAGAACGACTTACATGTACGTACTTTATTGTTTATAAATTGAATTGTGATGTCATAATAGACATCACAATTTGCCATCTTGACAGTGATTTTTTTTTTTTAATACACCAGCCATCTCCCACCAAGGCAGGGTGACTAGTACAGTTGCATACTAGTTGCATTTTGTGCAACTAGTATTGCATACTAGTATGCAACTGACGATTGTGTCCAACATACTAGTACGTATACACAATTTTTCGTACCTTCAAATCTGCCATCTGCCAGTATTTTTGACCTTATCACAATTCTTTGGGTCTTCTACAATCTCTTCATACCTTTGAAAAAAAATATAAGGCCAGGACAGTCCACACAGTGCATCACAGGGAAAAACTTTGTTTGATATACTAGTATATGTAACTAACATAAGTAAACAGTAAAATCAGGAGCTGTTGTTCCACCACCAGCTTCCCTACCAGCAAACAGGGTGTGCAAGTGGCATGAAGATTCCAATTTTATTACAGTTTCATGATACTAAGAGTGGATTTCAGCCGCTAAATACACTTAAGTAGATATAACTCAGGATAACCCAATAAAGTCAAATAGTGTGACGTCCTTGTTTTGCTGATTATTGCGCCTTGAAACAATTGGGATTTTGTTGTAAATATTTTACAGTAGTTTCGAAGGTATTATGGGCACAAAATGTTCATATAACCCAAGATATTTCCTCAAACTTAAATATGTACTGTACTAGCAGGCATGTGTGTGTTTTAGATAGGAGTGAGTGGAGGCAAATAAGTTTTAGGACTTGACAAGCTGTTGGAGTGTGAGGAAGGTAAGATTTCATGAAGGGATTCAAGTAAGCATGTATGCACCTGGAGAAGAGAGAAGTGTAGAGGAGAGAGAGAGATTTTGGGAAATGTTGAGTGATATGCGTGGGGAGTTTTGAATCAAGTGTGAGAGTAATGGTGGTTGGGGATTTCAATGCTAAAGTGGGTAAAAATGTTATGGAGGGAGTAGTAGGTAAATTTGGGGTGCCAGGGGTAAATGTAAATGGGGAGCCTTTAATTGAGCTATGTGTAGAAAGAGATTTGGTAATAAGTAATACATATTTTATGAAAAAGAGGATAAATAAATATACAAGGTATGATGTAGAACGTAATGAAAGTAGTTTGTTAGATTATGTATTGGTGGATAAAAGGTTGATGGGTAGGCTCCAGGATGTACATGTTTATAGAGGGGCAACTGATATATCGGATGATTATTTAGTTGTAGCTACAGTTAGAGTAAGAGGTAGATGGGAAAAGAGGAAGGTGGCAACAAGAAGTAAGAGGGAGGTGAAAGTGTATAAACTAAGGGAGGAGGAAGTTCGGGTGAGATATAAGCGACTATTGGCAGAAAGGTGGGCTAGTGCAAAGATGAGTAGTGGGGGGGAGTTGAAGAGGGTTGGAATAGTTTTAAAAATGCAGTATTAGAACGTGGGGCAGAAGTTTGTGGTTATAGGAGGGTGGGGCAGAAGGAAAGAGGAGTGATTGGTGGAATGAAGTAAAGGGTGTGATAAAAGAGAAAAAGGTAGCTTATGAGAGGTTTTTACAAAGCAGAAGTGTTATAAGAAGAGCAGAGTATATGGAGAGTAAAAGAAAGGTGAAGAGAGTGGTGAGAGAGTGCAAAAGGAGAGCAGATGATAGAGTGGGAGAGGCACTGTCAAGAAATTTTAATGAAAATAAGAAAAAATTTTGGAGCGAGTTAAACAAGTTAAGAAAGCCTAGGGAACGTATGGATTTGTCAGTTAAAAACAGAGTAGGGGAGTTAGTAGATTGGGAGATGGAGGTATTAGGTAGATGGCGAGAATATTTTGAGGAACTTTTAAATGTTGAAGAAGAAAGGGAGGCGGTAATTTCATGCACTGTCCAGGGAGGTATACCATCTTTTAGGAGTGAAGAAGAGCAGAATGTAAGTGTGGGGGAGGTACGTGAGGCATTATGGAGAATGATTGGGGTAAAGCAGCTGGAACTGATGGGATCATGACAGAAATGTTAAAAGCAGGGGGGGATATAGTGTTGGAGTGGTTGGTACTTTTGTTTAATAAATGTATGAAAGAGGGGAAGGTACCTAGGGATTGGCAGAGAGCATGTATAGTCCCTTTATATAAAGGGAAAGGGGACAAAAGAGATTGTAAAAATTATAGAGGAATAAGTTTACTGAGTATACCAGGAAAAGTGTACGGTAGGGTTATAATTGAAAGAATTAGAGGTAAGACAGAATGTAGGATTGCGGATGAGCAAGGAGGTTTCAGAGTGGGTAGGGATGTGTAGATCAAGTGTTTTACATTGAAGCATATATGTGAACAGTATTTAGATAAAGGTAGGGAAGTTTTTATTGCATTTATGGATTTAGAAAAGGCATATGATAGAGTGGATAGAGGAGCAATGTGGTAGATGTTACAAGTATATGGAATAGGTGGTAAGTTACTAAATGTTGTAAAGAGTTTTTATGAGGATAGTGAGGCTCAGGTTAGGGTGTGTAGAAGAGAGGGAGACTACTTCCCGGTAAAAAGTAGGTCTTAGACAGGATGCGTAATGTCACCATGGTTGTTTAATATATTTATAGATGGGGTTGTAAAAGAAGTAAATGCTAGGGTGTTTGGGAGAGGGGTGGGATTAAATTATGGGGAATCAAATTCAAAATGGGAATTGACACAGTTACTTTTTGCTGATGATACTGTGCTTATGGGAGATTCTAAAGAAAAATTGCAAAGGTTAGTAGATGAGTTTGGGAATGTGTGTAAAGGTAGAAAGTTGAAAGTGAACATAGAAAAGAGTAAGGTGATGAGGGTATCAAATGATTTAGATAAAGAAAAATTGGATATCAAATTGGGAGGAGGAGTATGGAAGAAGTGAATGTTTTCAGATACTTGGGAGTTGACGTGTCGGCGGATGGATTTATGAAGGATGAGGTTAATCATAGAATTGATGAGGGAAAAAAGGTGAGTGGTGCGTTGAGGTATATGTGGAGTCAAAAAGCGTTATCTATGGAGGCAAAGAAGGGAATGTATGAAAGTATAGTAGTACCAACACTCTTATATGGGTGTGAAGCTTGGGTGGTAAATGCAGCAGCGAGGAGGCGGTTGGAGGCAGTGGAGATGTTCTCTCTAAGGGCAGTGTGTGGTGTAAATATTATGCAGAAAATTCGGAGTGTGGAAATTAGGAAAAGGTGTGGAGTTAATAAAAATATTAGTCAGAGGGCAGAAGAGGGGTTGTTGAGGTGGTTTGGTCATTTAGAGAGAATGGATCAAAGTAGAATGACAAGGAAAGCATATAAATCTACAGGGGAAGGAAGGCGGGGTAGGGGTTGTCCTTGAAAGGGTTGGAGAGAGGGGGTAAAGGAGGTTTTGTGGGCGAGGGGCTTGGGCTTCCAGCAAGCGTGCATGAGCGTGTTAGGAGTGAATGGAGACGAATGGTACTTGGGACCTGACAATCTGTTGGAGTGTGAGCAGGGTAATATTTAGTGAAGGGATTCAGGGAAACCTGTTATTTTCATATAGTCGGACTTGAGTCCTGGAAATGGGAAGTACAATGCCTGCACTTTAAAGGAGGGGTTTGGGATATTGGCAGTTTGGAGGGATATGTTGTGTATCTTTATACGTACATGTATATGCTTCTAAGCTGTTGTATTCTGAGCACCTCTGCAAAAACAGTGATAATGTGTGAGTGTGGTGAAAGTGTTGAATGATGATGAAAGTATTTTCTTTTTGGGGATTTTCTTTCTTTTTTGGGTCACCATGCCTCGGTGGGAGACGGCCAACTTGTTGAGAAAAAAAAAAAAATTCAAGGAAAGTGGTCAGCGGATCTATTAGGGGTAGGGGAAGAGTCAGCTAGAGGTCAGAAACTTCCTACAATTTTCTTGTTATTTTATCATTTAACATTTACAATTAGTCCCTAATAACTGATAAGTTTTTCCCAACAATTTTCCGTTCAGTGGTAGTCTCAAGTATGCAGTGTAAGACATTACAGTAATTTTTTTTTTTTTTTAACTTGCTGGCCATCTCTCACCAAGGCAGGGTAACCTGAACAAGAAACATTTTCACCATCATTCACACTATCATTGTCTTGCCAGAGGCTTGCAGATGTTCAGATGTCCCTCCAGACATCACATATCCCAAACCTCTCCTTTAGAGTTCAGGCACTGTACCTCCCACCTCTAGGACTCAAGTCCAGCTAACCAGTTTCCCTGAATCCCTTCACAAAATATTACCTTGCTCACACTCCAACAGCTTGTCAGGTCCCCCAAAAATATTTGTCTCCACTCTTATCTAACGCTCTCATACATGCCTGTTGTACATCCAGGCCCCTTGCACACAAAATATCCTTTACTCCCCTCCCTCCATCCTTTCCTTGGATGACCCCTACTCTGCCTTCCCTCCACTACAGGATTATGTACCTTCCAAGTCATCCTATTTTTGTTCCATCCTCTCTAAATATGTACATATAATTTGCAGGATATATGTAAAAGAGTTTTGATCACTTGATTGTAACTTTCAGATGAATACAAGGGTCACAGTTTACTAGAGGCTTGTCGCCAGGCTGATGCTGCACGACTCAAGAAGTTTCTCTCACCAGATGTAGTAAATTTCAAACATCCTTATACGGGGAATACTCCACTTGTAAGTAAACTCAGATATTGCTACTATTAAAGTACAGGCTCTTCAGAATGTGATGCAAACCATGATGTGTAATTTACAGAATTTGTTAAAAGATATTAACTGTTCTGATATTCATGCAAGGTTCATTACCACAAAGAATGTAGATAAACCTTCAGCATCTATCATTTAAAATAATGGTCTGGAAAGGGTGAGATAGAATAACAGTCTATATAAGTGACTGACTATACTGAATGGTTACAGAAAAGAGGATTTTGGCTAATAATTATTTATAGTTGCATACTTTTAGTGTAAACCAGTTATGTACATAGTGTTCTAATTTTTGTTAGCCTGTCTTATGAAAAATGTTGCATGCCTAAACAGGCCTACAAAGAAAGGGACTAGGGGAGGGGGGCCTGGAAATATTTTGGCCTCCCTGGGAATTTTCAGAAATAAGAATGTGAGGCTAAACATGCAGATAAACTTGTAAAGGAGAGAATGCATTGTCAGAATGTAAGACTGGACCACATCATTGTCATGTTCAGTACTGCTGACACAGACATGCAGTTAGTCAAACTTCATTCTTCATTTTTTAAGAGTATTAATATTTTGCTTCGCAAGTTATGGTGCAGGTTCATTGAGAACACTAAATTATATAAGGCTGTTGATACTACAAACTTTTATCCAGAAAACTTTTTTTGATCAGGAAATTCTTCTCCCACTTAAAGATAAGTAGTAATAGGGGTTATTTTGAGAGAGACCAGATAGACATTGGTGAAGGGTCCCAATATGACATTTTGCAAACTATTGTACAAGTCTGCACAAGCATTATATATTCCTAATATACAAATTGCATCAAATATCTCTGGATCAAAATAGGTAAACAGTAGACTAAAACATCTCTTGGGTAATAAAAGAGAAGCATTTACAGGAGATTAGGTAGTAGGATGGTAGACAGCAATCACCCAGGGAGGTACAACCATCCTAGCAAATGAGTGGGAAACAAAAACCTGTAATTTTTTGCACAGTGGTAGGATTGCTAGTCTTTTCTTTCTGTCTTATAAACACACAAGATAAGTACATCTTGTTATTTCTACTTACACATAGGTCACATTACATAGGCATGTACACATATATGTATACAAATCCATCTAAGTTTTCTTTTATTATTTTAATAGTTCTTGTTCTTATTTATTTCCTATCATCTCCTTGGGAAGTGGAAAAGAATTCTTCCTTCATGCTTGTCTTAAGAGGTGACCGAAACATCATTAGCAAGGGCTAGTAACTCTTTCTCCTGTAAAAATTACTAAATGGAAAAAGAAAAAGAAATTTGCTCTTTCTTTTTCGGTTTATCTTGCCTCGATGGGAAATGGCTGGAGATGGTCACCTTGTTGACCATTATGTTAAATTTAAGAGACATCAAAAAAGAAATAAGGAAAGGCAAAAGAGAATATGAAATTTAAATTGCAAGGGAATCAAAGACTAACCAAAAAGAGTTTCAGGTATATAGGCATAAGATTAAGTAAAAGATAGGACCAAATGTACCTCAGGTCGGCTTACTGTTAGTGACAAAGAAATATGTACCATTTTTAACACTACTTTCCTCTCTATTTACATAAGAGAATACAAATAAAATTCCAGAATTTAATAATTATATAGGTCAGGATGAATATAAAGTGTAGAAGATCAAAGTCACTAGCAATGTCATCTTCAGATAATTACAGTAGATAGATTGAAACCCAACAAGATACCGAACCCTATTTTCAAGGGCTCAGTAACTTGTTTGATCCTAAAAGAATGCAAGGAGTAACTTACCAAACCATTAGCTAGTCTCTTCAACAGATCAATTCAAATGGGTATTGTAGTGGATAAGTTGAAGATGAAAGTGTGCTCAGTTGCAAAGTGGGAAATAGGTTCTCAGTTTCAAATTATAGTCTGATCAGTCTAACATCAGTTGTGGGAATATTGATGGAATCAACATTTGTGGATGCATTTCATTGCCACCATAAAGGTATAATTTAAGTAATGAATAGCAGCAGTTTTACAATGGGGCCTCTTGCCTTAAGAATTTTCTTATATTTTACTTAGGCACTTGAAGTGGTGAACCATGATAAAGAATATGATATTGTGTATATGGATTTCATTAAATCCTTTAATAGAGTTCCACACAGATGAGAGATAAAGAAAGTAGTGGCATACAGTACAAGAGCAATTTTCTCTTGAGCTGAGGCATGGTTGGGTGATGGGCAATAGAGAGTTTACATAAATAGGGAGAAATCAGAATGGGGTTAGTACTATAAGCCTTGTTGTTGTTTGCCCCCCCCCCCCCTCTCTGTCCTCTGATCCTAGTTGCAGGCCTGTATCCAGTGCATTTTAAAACTTATTTACCTGTTCCATTATTTTTGAAACATTGGTTTATGCATTGTGCATGTATTGTTTCTGTGAAACATGAAGTAAGTGGCAAGTAAATTATACATAAATAACTTGCACATGGAAGATTGGTAAATTATATCAAGAGAGGTGTGTCAGTTGGAAAATTAAAGCAATTTATTTGGAACAATTGAAGGTAGCCTCTTTTTTTTTTTATATATATATAAAAATATAATGCAACAGCAGCAAACAGAGTGAGATTTTTAGTTGTCTGGGCTTGATTTGTGAGAGAAACTTGATGGATAAATTATTGGGATGTTTTTAAATGATTTATCATTGCTGGTATAGTTCTTACTGTCCATAAAGTTACTATTATATTACAAGGATGTTTATTTATCATAAATTTCAATGTTATATTTCTTGTGTGACAAATTAAAGGCTGTCTTTATGATAATACACTTTTCTTTCAGCATTGCGCAGTTGGATCCACTGGAGGCAAACGTCGGAGTGTAGTGGAAGCCCTTCTGCGGAAGGGTGCCCCATTGCAAGAAAAAAATAAGGAATTCCTCACACCACTCCACCTGTCTGCTGATAAAGGACACTATGAAATTATGGAGCTGTTGCTTAAACATGGTTCAAAAGTTAATGCTTTGGATGGCCTTGGTCAAACAGGTAAATCATAGGGTTGTTTTTATCATATCCGCCATCTCCCACCAAAGTATGGCGACCCAAAAATAGCAATAGTCATCATCATTCATTCAATAGTTGTCTTGCCAGATATGCACAGACACATCCTCCACCATTCCTTCAGAGTGCAGATACTGTCCTTCCACCTTCAAGAAGCAACTTCAAACTAACAGGCTCCCTAAATTCCTTCATAAATGTTACTTCGGTCACACTCCAACAGCAAGTAAAATTCCTATGCTTTCCTACTTTTAACACGTTAGCACATGCCTGCTGGATGTTCAGGGCCTTGACACTTAAGAACCTTCACATCCTCTCTCCTACCCTTCCTGGGATGATCACTTTCTCACCTTTCTTCTTCCATAGATTTATACACCTTAGTCATCTGCTTCATCCTCTCTAAATGCCCAAACCAATTCATCAATCCTTCTCTGCCCTTTGAATAATTCCTTTAGTAGCCCATCATCATCTCTCCAAATTCCTTGCATAACATTCACACCGCACATTGCTTTAACCAACCCTTTCAGGGTTTCCGACGTCCTAGTACGGCTTACGCACCAGGGTTATTGACATACTAGTACGCCTAAATTCTAGCGCCTTCAAATCTAGCGAGAGCAAGCTGGTAGGCCTACATATGAAAGAATGGGTCTATGTAGTCAATGTGCACAATATAAAAAAAATCCTGCAGCACACAGTACATAATGACAAAAAAAACTTTGTGTTTTTGGTTTAAAACAGCGACTTTGCACTGTATTTTCGTATGGTATTTATGGTTGTATTCTAGTTTTCCTGGTCTCATTTTATAGAATGGAAGACATATTACAGAAATTGAGATGATTTTGATTGGTTTCACAATGAAAAGTACCTTCAAATTGAGCTCAAAATAGCAGAAATGTTTGATTTTTGCCAAAGTTCAAAAGTAAGCAAATCATGCCACACGTCTAATACACATCAACTGGTGAGTCTAATATTCTTTCACAAGTGCGCTGATATTATTTATACCATTTCTACACAAATGCAGTAGTCTGCATAACAGTAAACCTTCTATTTTTTTTTTTTTTTTGCGAGACTAGAAATTCAAAGTGGAAATAAAAGAAATGTAAAAGGGGCCTGGGGACATGTCTAATGAACAGAGGAAATGTTATTTTAGTGCCAGGAATGTCTGTCTTGTTTATTCTGGACCCTATTTGGAAATTGGCATCTTTTGAAATTTGTGTGAAATTGGCAAAATTGCTAATTTCTGACCACTTTATTGGATAGTTTAGATCGGTAAATGGGTGGTTTCTTGTACTCATTCAATAGAAAAAAATGTAGTTCTAGCGAAATAGTTATGATTTTTGTCAACTAGTACACTGGAATTGGCCAAAAATAGGGCTCAAAGTGGGCAAAATCACCAATGTGTAAATATTGTTGAGACTGCTAACTTCGCAAGAGCATAATTCCGTAAGTTTTCCATCAAATTTTGTGCTTTTGGTGTCATTATGATCAGGAAAAGATTCTCTTTGTTTTCATAAGATTTTTTTTTTTCTGAAAAATTTTGGAACCTGAGAACAAGTTTAGGAGAGGGCCTCTCGACCCTGAAAGGGTTAAACATAACAGCTTCACAGCCTCTGGCATCGTTCTTGCTGCAACATTGAAAGCTTCACACATATTGACTGCCTTCTAGTTAATTAGGTGGTTTATTTGTTTTGAACCAATTCTTTAGATATATGTGCAACTAACCCTTTCAGGGTCCAAAGGTCAAATTTCAAAGTGCGCACCAGTGTTCAAGAATTTTAAAAAAATAATTGTTATTTTTTATTATGAAATGGTAGAGAATCTTTTTCTGAAGGTAATAAAACATAAAGTATGAAATTTGATGGAAAATTTATGAAATTATGCTCTCGTGAATTTTGATGTGTCAGTGATATTTACGCATCGGCGATTTTGCTGACTTTGACTCTCATTTTAGGCCAATTATATTACTCCAGTCGACCAAATCCTAGCTATTTCACTAATAATACTTCTATTCTATCGATTGAGCACAAGAAATTGCCAAGTCAACTGTTTCAACTACAAAATAAAGTGATCGGAAATTGGTAATTTGGCTAATTTAATGCAAAATTCAAAATATTCCAATTTCAAAATAGGGTCCAGAATAAACAATGCAGGCATTCCTGGAACTAAACTAACATTTCCTCTGTTCATTAGTTACATTTTCAGGCTTTACAAATGAATTTCATTTTGATTTTTTATACACATAATGAATTTTTATTCAAACCAAAAAATAGAAGATTTACTGTTATGCAATACTGTAATAACTGTATAAATAATATCACCACATTTGTGAACATATATTAGACCCACCAGCTGGCGTGTATTAGACGTGTGGGATCATTTGTTTACTCTTGAACATCAGCAAAAATTTAACATTTCTGCTATTTTGAGCTCAGTTTCAACTCATTTCCATTACTAAAACCAATCAAAATCGCCTCTATTTCTGTAATATATCTTCCATTCTATTCAATGAGACCAAGAAATCCCAAATACAACTATAAAAAACACACGAAAAAACACTGCAAAGTCGCTGTTTTAATCGAAAATTACGGTCTCAGTTTTTTTTTCTCTCATTATGCACTGTGTGCTGCAGGATTTGTTTTATGTGGTGCACACATACCACATAGATGTATTCTCTCATATCTAGGCCCAAATTTACCGCTCACAGTTTATCAGAGTGAGCTGAGCTCATGGCATAGATCTATGGTTTGGACCCTCAACGTATAGCCGTAGATCTACGGCACGGACCCTCAAAGGGCTAAAGGTGCACATATATCTGAAATGGTTAGCTTTTAAATGTCAAGTATATAATTTTTACTGTGTTATCCACATACAAAATAATATATATACTGTAATACCTAGTTAACAAATTACGCAAATTAGGGAGGAAGTTCAAATGGTTACAGTTCTGTAACTTTTTTTCAGCTCTTCATCGATGTGGTAAAGAGGGGGATGTACAAGCATGCCGTGTTCTTCTGCAGTTTGGCATTGATCCAACCATTATTTCACTCCAGGGTTATACTGCCACTCAAGTTGCCACAGATCCTGTCCAGCGATTACTACATGGTTTGGGTTTTTTCTTGAGTACTGTAAATTTAACAAAAATATAATGTGACGTGAAATTCAGATTCATTATTTTTTAGATCTTTTTTATGTATTTCACATTTTATAATAATTTAATTTTGAGTAAACACCTTCAGAAGATCCTCCAGGACCTGGTGTAGACAGTGAGCAGCAGCTTTTAGAGGCATCGAAATCTGGAGATATAGAGTGTGTGCGTCGTATCCTCACCTCTCAGCCACACCTAGTGAATGTTCGAGATCTGGATGGTCGCCACTCGACGCCCTTACATTTTGCTGCTGGTTATAACCGTGTACCCATTGTGGAATATCTGCTTCAGCATGGAGCTGATGTACATGCTAAAGATAAAGGGTAAGTCTGAAACTAGGTATGTTTGTCACTCATTTAGTGTTTACGGACAGTAATTTGTCTGTTTGTATTGTTGCATTAGGGAACAGTTTAATTTAAGAAGAACTTATCCTTTGCTTAGTGACATCTTGTAGTGGCATGCACCACATACTCTAATTTCTTTATTTATTATTCTATGCATAGTATTGACAACAACAACACAAACATTGCATTGCCACTGTCTTCACTTCCTCCTCTCTCCACCATTCAAAAATTATGCATTACACCCATGTTAAAGTGTAGTTGCCACTGTACACTTGTACCTCTTATCCTTTTTTGCATTCATTGAAAAACTTTTAATTCCAGACTCCATAACACTCCAACTACCTACTTTGCTGTTCCAAATATCTAAATACAGTACATTCACTTCCTTCATTCACCCTTCATTGGGGTCATCCCACGGTCACTAAAAACAACAAATATAGCCCCACTCCACAAAAGTGGCAGTAAAGCAATTGCCATGATTTACAGACTGATAGCACTAACATCCCACATCATATTCTTGAAAGAGTTCTAAGCAGCAAGATTGCCAACTACTTGGATACCCATCGGTTGCACAACCCAGGGCAACATGTGTTTAGAGCAGGTTGCTCCTGCCTCTCACAACACTGGTTTACTTTGACATAGTCTTGGATGCACCGGAGGACAAACAAAATGCAGAGGTAGTATACACAGACTTTGGGAAAGCCTTCAACAATTGTGTTCATGATGTAAGAGCACACAAAATGCATGATAAAGGAATAACAGGAAAAGTTGGTAGATGGATCTATAATTTCTTGACAAACAGAACACAGATTAATAGTAAACAGAGTAGAATCAGAGGTGGCTATGGTGAAAAGTTCTGTTTCACAAGGTACAGTACTTGCTTCCATCCTTTTCTTCATCCTCATATCTGACATAAACAGAGCTGAAAGTCACAGCACTGTGTTCTCCTTTGCTGATTAAAACCAGAATTTGCATGAAAGTGTCATTTATGGAGGACACTGCAAATCCCCAAGCAGACATTAACCAGGTCTTTAAATTGCCATCAGAAAATAATAAGTTCAACAAAGACAAATTTCAGTTACTCGACTATGGAAAACTTGATGAAATAAAAACCGGATTGGAGCGTGAAACGAATTCCAACCACACAGTAGAGTGAAAAACTAATGTGAAGGACCTGGGGATGGTAATGTGAGAGAATCTCACTTTCAAAGATCACATCAATGTATCTACCACATCATCTTGGAAAATGATAAGATGTATAATGATAATCTTCAAAACTAGGGGTGCCAAGCTAATGATGATGCTCTACAAATTGCTTGTACTCTCTAGGTTGGAATATTGCTGTACTCTAACAGTCCCTTTCAAGGCAGGCAAAAATTGCATACCTGGAAAATTTACAGAGCACTTACACTGTATGTATAAGTACAATAAAGCACCTAAATTACTGGGAATGGCTGAAGTCTCTTGACCTGTATTCCATGGAATGTCGGCGAGAAAGATACATGATGATATACATGTGGAAAATCCTAGAGGGACTATTACCCAATCTGCAGACGGAAATCACTCCCTGTGAAAGCGAAAGACTCAGCAGGCAGTGCAACATCCCCCCAAATGATAAAAATGCTAAGAGACAATAAGTGTCAGGATCCCAAGACTGTTCAACTGCCTCCCAGCATACATAAGGGGGATTACCAACAGACCCCTGGCTGTCTTCAAGAGGGAGCTAGACAGACACCTAAAGTCAGTACCTGATTATCCAGGTTGTTATTCGTATGTCAGTTTGTGTTCAGCCAGCAGTAGCTGCCAGGTTGAGCAGGCCCTGATCCACCGTGAGGCCTGGTCACGGACTAGGCTGCAGGGGCATTGACCCTCGGAACACCCTCCAGGTACACTCCAGGTATAGTCTTTCCCTCCATCCTGCATGTACATATTCACATATGTTCTTGCTCCCAAGACTTTATTCTTTGATGTCAGCAGAAATGAATGACTAAATTACACTGTTGGCATCATTGGTAGACATACCCCCTAGGGAGTCATTATTTTAACCAAAATTTCTGATTTGTTGCCAAGTGTGTGTAGTAATTATATAATGGCTTTTCATCTTGAACTGTAATTAAAATAATTTTTTTTCAACACATCAGCCGTCTCCCACCAAGGCAGGTTGACCAAAAAAGAAAGAAACACTTTCACCAGCATTCACACAATATCACTGTCTTTGCAGAGGTGCCTAGATATGACAGTTCAGATGTCACTCTAAGCAGCCAATATCCCAAATCCCTTTTTTTAAAGTGCAGGCATTGTACTTCCCACCTCCAGGACTCAAGTCCGGCTAACTGGCTCACCTGAATCCCTTTACATAATATTACCCTTCTCACACTCCAACAGCTCATCTGGTACCAAAAGCCATTCGTTTCCATTCACTCCTATCTAACATGCTCACACATGCCTGTTTCATGTCTAGGCCCCTTGCACACAAAACCCCCCTCCATCCTTTCCTAGGATGACCCCTACCCCTTCTCCCCTCCACTGCAGATTTATACATCCTCCAATTCAACCTATTTTGCTCTATCCTCTCTAAATGACCAAACCTCCTCAATAATCAATCTTTCGCCCCTCTGAATAATACCTTTAGTAACTCCACACCTAATTTCTACACTACGAATTCTCTGCATAATATTTACATCACACATTGCCCTTAGACTCGACATCTCCACTGCTTCCAGCCTGTTTCTCGATGCAGCATTCACAACCCATGCTTCACACCCATATAAGAATGTTGGTACCACTATACTCTTGTTCATTCCCATCTTTGCCTCCATGGACAATGTTTGTTTTGTCTCCACAGATACCTCAATGTACCACTTACCTTTTTTCCTTCATCATTTCTATGGTTATCCTCGTCCTTCATAAACCTGTCTGCTGACAATCTTCTCCCAAATATCTGAACATATTCATTTCTTCCATACTCCCTCCCTCCAATGTGATACCCAATTTTTCTTTACCTAACTCGTTTGATACCCTCATCACCTTGCTCTTATCTATATTCACTTTCAGCTTTCTTTACACACCACTAACCTTTGGAATTTCTCTTTAGAATCTCCCAAAAGCACAGTATCATTGGCAAAAGGAAACTGTGTCAGGTAGGTGATCTTGGTTGCCAGTATGACATTTTTCAGAGCATAGTTCTAGCTGCCCAGACAACTTTTGTTCCAAGTAGGGAAATTAGATCTAACAAAAATGATCCCAAATGGATGAACAATAGATTAAAACATTTCATTGGTCAAAAGGGAGGCATATATACACGTATCAAACGAGGGGATGGGCAGTTAAGAAATCAATATACTATTCAATTAAAGAGATAAAAAAAGGAATAAGAAAAGAAAAAGGGATTGTGAGGCTATGGTCGCAAGGGATTCGAAGACTAACCCAAAAGAGTTCTTTCAAGTATGCAGAAGTAAGATTAGGGACAAGATAGGCCCACTTAACCCTTTGACTGTTTCGGTCATATATACGTATATGTCTTACGAGCCAGTGTGTTTGACATATATAATATTACTCGAAAATTCTAGTGGCTTCAAATCAAGCCACTAGTAGCTGGTAGGCCCACATGTGAGAGAATGGGTCTGCATGGGTAATGTGTACTGTATAAAATAAGTCCTACAGCACGCAGTGCATAATGAGAAAAAAAAAACTCCGACCGTGCTTTTGGATTAAAACGCTGACTTTGAGGTGTATTTTTGTATAGTATTTATGGTTGTATTCTCATTTTCTTGGTCTCATTTGATAGAATGGAAAAAATTACAGAAATAGAGATATTTTGATTGGTTTTATTATGAAAAGGACCTTGAAATGGAGCTCAAAGTAGGGGAAATGTTTGATTTTTGCTGACATTTAAAAGTAAACAAATGACATCATTGTCCAATGAATGTCCAACTAGCCATTATAATATGCATCATGATTGGGTTGACATTATTTATACAATTACAGTGGACCCCCGGTTAATGATATTTTTTCACTCCAGAAGTATGTTCAGGTGCTAGTACTGACCGAATTTGTTCCCATAAGGAATATTGTGAAGTACATTAGTCCATTTCAGACCCGCAAATATACACGTACAAACGCACTTACATAAATACACTTACATAATTGGTCGCATTCGGAGGTGATCGTTATGCGGGGGTCCACTGTATTACAATATTGCAGTAGTCTGCATAACAGTAAATCTTCTATTTTTTTGAGTAAAAATTCAAAATAGAAAGCAAAAGTAATATCAGAAGGGCCTGGAGATGTGACTGATGAACAAGGAAAATGTTATTTTAGAGCCAGGAATGTCTACATGTTCTTTCTGGACCTTATTTTGAAATTGGCATATTTTTTAATTTGTGTGAAATTGGCCAAATTACCAATTTCTGACCACTTTATTGGGTAGTTGAAATCGGTAAATGGACAGTTTCTTGTAGTCAGTCAATAGAACAAATGGAGTTATAAAGAAATAGCTGAGTTTGGTTGACTGAAACACTGGAATTAGCCAAAAATAGGGCTCAAACTCAAAGTGGGCGAAATCGCCAATTCGTAAATATCGCCGAGGTCGCTAACTTCACAAGACCGTAATTCCATAAGTTTTCCCTCAGATTTTGTACTTTTGGTGTCATTACCACTGGGAAAAAATCTCTTATCATTTCATGAGAATTTTTTTTTTTTTTTTTTTTTCCAAATATTTTGTGACACCAGGAGACACCTCAGGATTTGGGGTCGCAACAGTCACAGGGTCAAGAGTAACTCAGGTCAGATCACTGACAGTGATAAGGATATGTGTGAAATTTTTAATACTTACTTCCTCTCAGTTTTTACTAGGGAAAATACAGTGGACTCCCGACATTCGATGGCATCGACATTCGATAAGTCCGACATTCGATACATTTTAATGCAAAAATTTCGCCTCGACTTTCGATGGAAAACCCGACATTCGATATGATTTGTACAAGACGTGTCCATGTGTGGCCTGAACTGCCTCGTGTGTGCCAGTGTTTACAAGCCAGCAAGTGTGCGCGCATCTAAGGATACATTCCATATTATCCATATTATCACTGTTTTTGGTGCTTGTTTCTGCAAAATAAGTAACCATGGGCCCCAAGAAAGCTTCTAGTGCCAACCCTTCGAGAAAAAAGGTGCTAATGACTATTGAAATGAAGAAAGAGATAATTGCAAAGTATGAAAGTGGAGTGCATGGTGATTTGGTAAAGAAATTGCCTGCAACTAGTGGTGATGTGAGTGAATTTAAGGCCAGCAAGGGTTGGTTTGAAAGATTTAAGAATCGTAGTGGCATATACAGTGTGGTAAGGCATGGTGAGGCTGCCAGTTCAAGTCCTAATGGAAGGGGATTCCCCTTCTAAACATTAAACACCATCCACACTCTCCCCTCCTCCCATCCCATCAATCATCACCAGATCTTCATTAACCCTTTGAGGGTCGACAGGCCCTCTCCGAAACTCGTTCTCAGGGTCGGCCAAATTTCAAAAAAAAAAAAAATTATTTTTTCTTATGAAAAAATAGAGTTTTTTTTTCTAAACATTATAGGATAAACAAAAAAAATTTACCATCAATACTTACGGAGATATGGATGCATGAATTTTGCAGAAAATGAGCTGCGTATGGCAACAGCGGCGACTGCCGCTCACCCGGTAAACTTTGATTTACTTGTATTTGAAGGTTTGTTGTTTTTTTCACTATTTTATTTTTTCACATAACTTATGTGGCCTATGAGACCAAAGTAAGGTGCAATGTACATATATACACTCGTTGTATACAACACAATAAGCACACAAACATAATTATCAATATATTGTTTACAAAACTTGTTTACAAAAACAAACAATACAAAACATTGTTTATTATTATTGTTCTATAATATATATACCAATATACAGTCACTGAACATATTCCTATTAGTTCTGCAGCTTGTGGAACTCTGAAACATGGTGTCATACACAATGGTGTTTTATCTTTCTCCCTCATTCTATCTCTTTCAATCTGTCTCTCTCTTTCTATCTGTCGTCTATCTCTGTCTCACAGGTACACATAAATACAAGTATACATAGTATAAATTACCTAGGATAACCCAAGAAACCAGACAAAGTGCTATACTCTGCTTGAAGATGTGAGTAAAAGTGATGATGCAGTCTTGTGGCTCTCTGAGACAGAGAGCTAGATGGATAGACAGGGAGCTTGACAGACAGGCAAATAGACAGACAGAAATGTTAGTATACAGCAAAAACAAAGGGAGGGCGATGTTCATCTCATCTTTTGGCATCAGCTCTACCCTCATTTACCCTCATCAAACGTCAGCACTTATCAGATGTTATCTCCCCTTATCTTGTTACTGTCATGGGTGAACATTTATTATTACATATTATTATTATTACCTATTATTATTATTATGTATTATTATTATTATGTATTATTATTATTATGTATTATTATTATTATGTATTATTATTATGTATTATTGTTATCATTACGTATTCTTCTTCTTCCTCCTCCTCCTCTTCCTCCTCCTCCTCTTCTTCCTCCTCCTCCTCCTCTTCTTCCTCCTCCTCCTCCTCCTCCTCCTCCTCCTCCTCCTCTCTGCCTCCTCCTCCTCTTGCCTCCTCCTCCTCTTGCCTCCTCCTCCTCTGCCTCCTCCTCCTCCTCCATTCTTGGAACAAGTTTGAAGAGCTTGTAGTTCATAATCACTATCATTATCATCACCAATGCTCACATCTGAGTCTGGGATTTTGGAAAATAGGAGTTTCCTCTTTGATTCTGGTACAACTGAACGACGGCCCAGCACCAGAGGTGGAAGGCTGTGGGTTGTCTGGGTTTTCCTCACTATTACCCATATTATGGTCATTAGTTTCGGTCAAAACCTCACCAGAACCTTGAAACTCATCTTCACTGTCACTTCCATCTGTATTAGAACTGTCACTGGGGAACAAAAGTGTCCCAATTCGCCGAGGAGTGAGGAACTTCTTACCGCAGGGCACGGTGGAAATTGTGTACTATGATGGCATTCCCACAATGCACCACTGGGTCCCAGATTTTTTTCCTACTGCGCACACCCACCACACAGACCCATTCTCTCACATCTAGGCTTATCAGCCTTTTCCTGCGAGATTTGAGGCCGCTAGAATTTATGCGTACTAGTACGTCAAAAACCCCTACACGTAAGACGTACTAGTACGACCAAAACCCTCAAAGGGTTAAAGGTAAGTGTCAATTATTCTATTGTTATTAATCTATTGTTATTGTTGTTATTGTAATTATTCTATTGCATTAAACTTAATATTTCATGTGGTAAAATTTTTTTTCATACTTTTGGGTGTCTTGCACGGATTAATTTGATTTCCATTATTTCTTATGGGGAAAATTAATTCGACTTTCGATATTTTCGACATTCGATGAGCTCTCAGGAACGGATTAATATCGAATGTCGGGGGTCCACTGTACTAGCGAAATTCCAGAAATAATAGATTATGTAGAACATGATGATGAACTATGCACAATTAGGGGTAACTAGAGATATGGTCCTCATACAAATAGAGAAATTAAAACCTAACAGATCTCCAGGCCCTGATGAACTGTTTGCAAGAATTTAAAGGAACTTAGCATACCTTTGGCTAATCTTTTCAACATATCACCACAAACTGGCATAGTGACTGATAGTGGAAAAGGGCAAATGTAATACCTATTTACAAGGCAAGTGACAGGTCCTTAGCTTCAAACTATAGACCAATAAGCCTTACCTCCTAGTGGGAAAATTTATGGAATCAATAATTGCCGAAACAATTCGTAGCCATCTCGATAGGCACAAACTAATTAATGAATCTCAACAAGGTTTTACAAAGGGGCGTTCCTGTCTTACGAATTTACTAACTTTTTTCAGTCCTATTAGGACTGAAGAAGCCACTTGTGGCGAAACGTCTCCTCTAATAAATGTCCTGAACTGTACATAAGTGTCTTTTTCCACATCTTGTCGGTATCACCATACCATTTCCTCAAAGTTCTAAATGTTGGACAGGAAAATAACCATGCCACATATAAACTAAATAATGTAGATCTTAATACTACTGATTGCAAAAAGGATTTAGGAGTTCTGGTTAGCAGTAATCTAAAACCAAGACTACAGCACATTAGTGTTTGCAATAAAGCTAACAGAATCCTTGGCTTCATATCTAGAAGTATAAATAATAGAAGTCCTCAGGTTGTTCTTTAACTATATATATCCTTGGTTAGGCTTCATTTAGATTATGCTACACAGTTCTGGTCACCATATTACAGAATGGATATAAATGCACTGGAAAATGTACAGAGGAGGATGACAAAGTTGATCCCATGTATCAGAAATCTTCTCTATGAGGATAGACTGAGGACCCTGAATCTGCTGTTTTGAAAGGCGTAGAATTAGGGGGGATACGATCGAGGTGTATAAATGGAAAACAGGAATAAATAATGGGACGTAAATAGCGTGCTGAAAATATCCAGCCAAGACAGGACTCGCAGCAATGATTTAAGTTGGAAAAATTCAGATTCATGAAGGATATAGGAAAGCACTGGTTTGGTAATAGAGTTGTGGATGAGTGGAACAAACTCCCGACTACCGCTATAGAGGCTAAAATGTTGTGTAGTTTTAAAAATAGGTTAGATTAATACATGAGTGGGTGTGGGTGCATGTGAGTTGGACCTGACTAGCTTGTGCTACTAGGTCTGATGCCATGCTCCTTCCTTAAGTGGAAGTGACCTGACTAGGTGGGTCATTGGGCTAAGCCGGAGGGTGACATGGACCTACTTTGCATGGGTCAGTAGGCCTGCTTAAGTGTTCCTTCTTTCTTATGTTCTTAACTCCATTTTGTATTTGATTCCCCATAATTTAATCCTACCCCTCTCCCCAACACCCTGGCATTTACTTCTTTTACAACCCAATCTATAAATATGTTAAACAACAATGGTGGCATTACACATCCCTCTCTATGGTCTACTTTTACTGGAAGGTAATCTCCCTCTCTCCTACACACCCTAACCTGAGCATCACTATCCTCATAAAAACTCTTACAGCATTTAGTAACTTACTACCTAACAAGGAACATCATAGGTAAACCACAGTATGGGGGGGGGCTTGAACTCACAGCAAGTGAATCATAAAACTTCAGGGAAGTACATAAGCCACTGGGCCAGCTGGCTTTTCTTCTTTTTATTTTTAGTAAGCTGTATAAGAAAATGGTTACTAGCCTATTGCTCCCAGCATTTTAGTTGATTATATGATTATATATTTTGAACTTACTTCACATTAAATTTTTTTATTTGTTTAAAATCAGTGTTACAGTGTTCATTAATTTGTTTTCCCAGTGGTCTTGTGCCCTTACATAATGCATGTTCGTACGGTCACTACGAGGTCACTGAGCTGCTGGTACGTCATGGGGCCAGTGTTAATGTTGCTGATCTCTGGAAGTTTACACCTCTCCATGAAGCTGCTGCCAAAGGCAAATATGATATTGTTAAATTATTACTGAAGGTAAAGAAATTTTAAGACATACATTTTAATGAATGAATTAATAATTGTTTTTAACTCATTGGCCATCTCCCACCAAGGTAGGGTGACCTGCAAGAAGAACAATGCCTGCTCTCTAAAGGAGGATTAGGGATATTTGCTATTTGGAGGGATATCTGAACTGCTGTATCTGCATGTCTCTGGCTAGACAGTGAGAGTGTAAATGATGGTGAAAGTTTTTTTTTTATTTTTAGGTTACTCATCTGGGTTTTCCTCTATTTTCTTTATAGTTCTTGTTCTTTTTTATTTCCTCTTATTTTCATGGGGAAATGGAAAAGAATTCTTCCTCTGTAAGCCATGCATGTCATAAGAGGCAACTGACATGCTGGGAGCAAGGGGTTAGTAACACCTGCTCCTGTATAAATTACTAAATGTAAAAAGAAAAACTTTTGTTTTTCATTTTAGGTCATCCTGCCTCAGTGAGATACATCTAAAGAAAAATTGGATATCAGATTGGTGGAGGGAGTATGGAAGAAGTGAATGTGTTCAGATATTTGGGAGTAGACTTGTTGATGGATGGGTATATGAAGGATGAGGTAAACCATAGAAGTAATGAAGGAAAAAAGGTGAGTGGTGCATTGAGGTGTCTGTGGAGACAAAGAACATTATCCATGGAGGCAAAGAAGAGAATGTACGAGGGTATAGTGGTACCAACACTCTTATATGGGTGTGAAGCATGGGTTGTGAATGTTGTAGCAAAAAGGAGGCTGGAGGCAGTGGAGATGTGTCTAAGGGCAATGTGTGGTGTAAATATTATGCAGAGAATTCGTAGTGTAGAAATTAGGAGGTGTGGAGTTACTAAAAGTATTATTCAGAGGGCTGAGGAGGGGTTGTTGAGAGGTGGTTCGGTCATTTAGAGAGGATAGAGCAAAATACAATGATTTGGAGGGTGTATAAATCTGTAGTGGAAGGGAGGAGGGGTAAGGGGTCATCCTTGGAAAGGATGGAGGGAGGGGGTAAAAGAGGTTTTGTGTGCATGGGGCTTGGACATAGAGCAAGCATGTGTGAGCATGTTAGGTAGGAGTGAATGGAGACAAATGGTTTTTGGGACTTGACAAGTTGTTGGAGTGTGATCAGGGTAATATTTTGTGAAGGGATTCAGGGAAACAGGTTAGCCGGACTTGAGTCCTGGAGGTGGGAAGTACAGTGCCTGCAATTTGAAGGAGGAGTTTGGAATATTGGCGGTTTGGAGTGACATCTGAACTGTTGTACCTGAGAATCTCCGCAAAGACAGTGACTGTGTGAATGATGGTGAAAGTGTTGAATGATGATGAAAGTGTTTTTTTTTTTTTTGGGTCATTCTGCCTTGATTGGAGATGGCCGATGTGTTGAAAATAAATAAATAAATAAATATAAATATATATATATATATATATATATATACAGTGGACCCCCGCATAACGATTACCTCCGAATGTGACCAATTATGTAAGTGTATTTATGTAAGTGCGTTTGTACGTGTATGTTTGGGGGTCTGAAATGGACTAATCTACTTCACAATATTTCTTATGGGAACAAATTCGGTCGGTACTGGCACCTGAACATACTTCTGGAGTGAAAAAATATCGTTAACCGGGGGTCCACTGTATATATATATATATATATATATATATATATATATATATATATATATATTATATATATATATATATATATATATATATATATATATATATAATATATATATATAATATATATATATATATATATATATATATAAAATATATATATATATATATATATATATATATATATATAAAATATATATATATATATATAATATATATATATATATATATATATATATATATATATATATATATATATATATATATATATATATAATATATTTTTTTTTATTTATTTTATTTATTTATATTTATATTCCAGCAGGCGTGCATGAGCGTGTTCGATAGGAGTGAATGGAGACGAATGGTATTTGG